AATGACCAAATTTCACATACATATACATCTCATCCAAGATCATGTACACAATTTTTATCATGGTATTTTTATTCCGAAACAGGAATGATAATCCAGATCCATAAAATCAAATGCCAAAGAAACTCATCCAAGAGGACATTTTCATTTTACATTCAAGATTCAACCAAACATTGCAGACAAGGTTCCAGACACAAATAATATGGACAAAACTTTGGTATGAGATGCTCGACACAACAATAACCGAATTGTGCTTATCCAATGTGATTTGTAAATCCTAATTCTATTAAATGAAAATCTGTAAGGCAGATGCATCTTGGAGATCATGTAATTTATAAACATAATTCAATATGTGCCTCAGTTTGAGTCAGCGAAACCAAAGTTCTTCGAGTCTAAAGCCTCATAAGAATCTAAAAAATCTAACATGCATAAGCCCAGTTATATGCATTCACACCATATTAACCCACAAATCAAGAGTACAAATACACAAAAGTAGGCCATAAGAAACGTCAGGACACGCATACTCATTATTCATACAATAAATTATTAATATTGAATAGATCTTGAATGTTACCTTGACAGAAAAGACAAGATTCTTTTCTAGGGCATACATCAATTGTTGATTGTTACCTTGATTGCCCGTTCGTCTTGATGTCGTCGCTGTTCGCTTAGATGGTAGAGTACTCGTGCTGATAACGTGTTGTAATATAGATTGACAATATGTAAAATCTATGTGTAAAATAGACAAAGATAGAAACAGTAGAAGAAGAAGAGAATAAGAGAGAAGAGATACGCCGCTAAAAACCATCATCTTATTCATTCACTTGAGCCCTATATATAAGGGAATATAATGTACATGAGTAAATACCTAATGGGCTCCTGGCCCATGCCTACAAATCCTATATCTAGGTAATGTCCACAACTTAATATTTACAACAGTTTGATTATTAACATGACCAAACATTTTGCTTATTGATTTATAAAGTTTGATTATTATTTTGACCAAACAGGAAATATGAACTTGTTGGATCAATATTGTTAATCTAAACAAACATAAAAGTTTTTCATATTATTTTCTTAGCTTTTATCAGTTTGTAACGTTTTATCAGTGTAGGAAACATTTTCATAATTTTTTATTTATTCCACGATTTGTTGATTCATTATAGTTTTGAACAATCTATGAAAATTATTTAGCCACCTTCTGGCAAATATGTATCTATGTGTTCGTGTCTCACAAGTCACAAACATAATGAATAACATTACAAATTATTCATTCAAACTTTTATTCATTGCAAATATATTAAAATAGTTTATATAACAGCCATTAAATACCACTTTCAATATATTGAAAAATAAAAAGTACATAAAATTTCTGGTGTTCAAATTTAAATAAATAAAATTTTTGGTGTGTTCAAATTTAGATAATTTTTTATGGGCTCAATTTTAAATCATTCAGATATTTGGTCAAACGCATATGTGTATTCAAATTTAAATCATTGGCATTTTGTTAGGTTGAAATTTAAATCATCTACCATGGTACTGTGATGTGTATAATATATATATATATATATATATATATGTATATATATATATATATATGTTGATGCTCAAAAATGTCAACAATGTTGTTCGAACTGCGTACTCAAAGATACACTCGGTTCGGTCTGCACGAATAGAATTACATGGTGTATTCGGAACGGATACTCGATCTATCGTGACTTTTCTTTAAATTAATCATGAAATAAACATGAATTAAACTCAACCGAAAAATCAGAGGCCAAAAGAATGAAGGTGAAGCTAATTTTTTTTATTGATAATGCCTTGGGAGGAAAGAATATGTTGCTCCCTCATCCTCTTACGAGATCTTAAATGGATAAGGTTAGATCCTCTTCTTTTCGATAGGATATCACAAGTACATATCATATCTTTTATATATGGTCCTCAATTATTGTGGAATAAAATAATACAAATGATATTTTAATGTGTTGTACTCTTATTTATCGTAGCCAAATAGGGTACCAACAATATATATATACACAATTTTTTAACAGTAATATGTGCTTTATAAAAATAATAATAATAATAATTTCACAAGATTTTAAACATAAAATCAGGTTTTTAATCACAATCGAAAAAACATGGTAAGTTGTATTGAAAATGTGTTATGAGATAAAACAATTAAATAAAATAAAATACTTGATGGAAATAGATTAATTACATTTGACTTTTCTTACTACTAATTCTAGTAAATATGATAGTTTTTTATATAAGTATGATTACCAATTAAGCGTTGAATACTGATTACAAACTCATCTTGATTACCATCTTTTTTCAAACTCATCTTCATCACTATCTTTTTTTTTTTTT